TATCTTCGAAACACTGTTATAGATTCTTGTTCTTCAGAATCCGCGGACAATGAAAAAGAAAATGGATATATAATATTTGAAAGCGCGACTGTCCAGCTAGAATCCAATTCAAGTGTATCAGGCATTCGCACAGTAAATTTTGAAGTGGTATTTCCTTCAACGCTTCCGGTATTTGAAGGCAAGACTACATAAAAGGAGTCCATATTTATCTTCGAACGATATCGGTATCGTTAATCCAACTATTATAGCTTTCTTTGTATCCAAGCCAGCGTACGAAATGCTGTTTTATTCCTTCACGTGTGGTACGCGTTTTCAAAATTTCTGCAATTCTATGTGTTGTATCCTCTTGCGTAGGTACTAGCTCTTCTCTATAAAACACTCCTTCAATTATATTTTCTTCAAAATCTTTTAACTTATACGTAACAGGATTATGCGCGTCGTTTACTATATAGACAAGAAATAATTCGTCAGTATAGTTTGGCAAATATCCTTTTTCAAATTTACCTTTTTCTTTAGTTATACGAACAGTTTGTCCAGGCTTAAGTATAGATAATACCTTCTGAGGATTAATATTTTGTGTATCCTTATATAGCCTCTCAAATAATTTTCGAGAGTTCTTAAAGTTGACAGAATTAGGTGTAACACCTATAACGCGGTTTACGCTCGAATTTATTCCAGAAACGATTTGTTTTATAACCTCAACCCAACGTAGAGTGTTTTTTTCGCTAAAATATCGATATAGTCTTTCTTTGATTGTTCGATTTGCTCTTTCTGCCATTGAAGCATGAACATCAGGACTGTATACTACACGCTTATCTATATCCTTCTTTTTAAAATATTCTTTCATTCGTCTAGCCTCAAATTCTAACCCTCTATCCGTATATAATTTATGAGGAAGTATCCCTTCTGAAAGTTTGAAAATATTTTCGAATGCCTCAATCATGTCTTCAGATCTCTTAGATTTGGCAGGCACAGCAAAAATTTTTCTGCTTAGTACGTCAATACAAACCAAAAGATATTTATACCCATCATTATATTTTGTTAGTTGATCAAATATGGCTAAATCCGCCTGCCAATCTGTGTGTAGTCCACTTGGGCGCGTGACTAACCTTGGAAACTTTTTTCTTGCAGGTCTATGCATTGTATAAACTCTTTGCCTATGCAAAAAATCATAAACATCCTGAAATTTTATTTTAGGATACTTGCGTCTAGCTTCTTCATAGACGCGATTTATTCCTGCGTAAGAAGCAGGAGAATTTAGTGAATAATAAATTTTTTCCAATAAGTTTTCTAGAGCTTTTCCCATATTTTTGGCATAAATTTATTTTTCCGTCGTATTAAACCTGGCGAATTTATAGGGGCGACTTTTACTAGAACTCTTCTTTTTCTCTTGCCACTGCCTGATTGATTATCTTCAGTCAAGCTTTCTTCTGTACTACTTTCTCCTTTAGTCTCCTTAATCATCTCTTTTACTAATGGGTCCTTGGATAGTCGATTAAATAAAAAACTGAACCCCTTTGGAGGTGATGATATTTCCCCTTGCACATACTCGAGTACTTCAGTGAAATTACTATTCTTTACAAGCCTTCCTTTGACATTAGATTCAAAGCTCCCATTCTTCCTTATTCTAAATTTTTCAGCATTGTCTTTTACGTAATTTTCCAATTCCTTCGAATATCGCCTTGAAATAATTCCATTAAAAGGTGTTATGTTCCTTCGTTTCGTTTGTTTTGACGTGGACGGTTCTGAATCAGTCTGATATTCAGATTTAGAATTTGATTCAGCTTGTAACTTGTTAGGAATTAACTTTGATTTAGGTGTAGTTGTAGCGGCTTCTTGCAAATAAGGTGCAACCTCCGGAGCGTTTGCTTTATTATCATCGATAATTACTTTTTGAGGGCGATTTTCCAACTCATGTTTAAGCTGACGTCGTTTCTTATATAACCAGTTATATTTTTTTGCTTTTACATCTTCTGATAGCTTAGGATCTTCCAAAGTATTTTTTATTTCCATGTTAGCTTGCGCTTTCTCATTTTGCAAGAAATCACCACCTTTAATCATGTTTAGAAGTGTAAGGTACTCGCTTTCTGGCACCATTACCATTTTCTTTGTATGTTTCATTCCTGGGAGAATTTATGTATAATATGCTCGGCTAGTGCTCCTAATACAGGGACAAGTATAGCAGCAAGCGCAGCACTACCGCCTTCTTGTAGTCGTTTACGTGCACTGTTTTCTGTGCGTGTCCTTGCTATCGCCCTATAAAAATCAGCAAATTGTGCCAATTTTCTACGTTGCTTTTTACTTAGTGTAAAATTATGCTTTAAGATATTAGCACAAATTTCCACAATTGCTAAAATTTGATCAGCGTTAGCGGTAAGTATTAGAGCGTTTTTCTTCTTGTCAGAGGATGTTTTTGCTAAGCGTTGAAGGAACTCAAAATTTTCTTTAACGTATGGGCTATAGTTATATGAAGGCATTTTTATCGAACCAAATTTTTGATCACTTATATATTACAAGGGTAGATATATAGTGGTTTTTTCTCCGGGAAAAATATTTGTAGAAAGTCTTAAATGTTCATCAGTGCTGGGATGCATGTTTATCAATAAATAAGAAAAACGTTCTGATGTCGCATCGCGGTAAGATTCAAGGAAATAATTTATCATTTTTGGAAAAAGTTGCGAGCCGAGTGTCCGGACTTGCAATAATCCTTGAGGATTTTTAGTTAGAAGGATATAATGTGCATTTGCTCTTGCTGTCTTTATATTACGGCCGTAAAGTGATTGTGTTACAAATATAACACTAACTCCCCAATTATGTGACCCCCTTGTAAATAATAAATCAAGGAATTCGCTTTGAATATTAAGCATTAGGTCATCAAGAACTAAAAGCTGATGCTGTTTAATTATCTCAGGTTCCGGTACGCCATTATACGTAGTAATGCCCATTTCTTTAATTTTAAAAACAATTTCATTCATTTCACCAAAACAATACATTATTTTTGAAGGTGGTGGGTCAATAAGGAGTTCAGTATTCTTGAGAAATTTTAAAAGCCAATGGGTTTTACCACTACCCGTGGCCCCCGAAATTATCATTGTAAAAGGGGCGTTGAACATTTTATTTTGATATCAAAAAGTTCTATATTATATATAGTACCTAATTCTGTCGGACCTTGTGGTTAAGTGGGTTAATACAAAAATTATATATGTACAAATATTATTCCTAACTTCTGCTTTAATATTTATTATTTGTATTTAAATAATGTTTTGGTTGAAGTGTAGGCCTATGACATAATCAGTCTGAATATTTAAAAGACGATTTCATCATATGCCCACACTTAGCCATACATACTCATCAAGAACAACAATTCGTTATTAGCAAAAAATTTTTTAGATGTACCAGAAAGCCATTATACAAAATATTGTCTCTACAGCTCAATTAATTGAAGGAACTAACAAAATAGATCTAGCAGCGCTGGCAGATAAAATTTCAGAAGCAAAATATCAACCAAAACGTTTTTCCGCACTGACTATTAAACTCAAATATCCTATGAAAGCAACAGGGCTAATTTTTTCTAATGGTAGAATAGTTTGTGTAGGAACTAATTCGGTTAAGGACTCAGAAATTGCAATTAGACATTTTGTCCAAATTATAAAAGAGGCAATTTCAATCTCAATAGAGATGCATAGCTTTAGAATCCAAAATGTGGTTTCATCGTTTTCATTTGCGGGGCCGCTAAATTTACCAGGTAGTATTATTTCTGTATAATTATTTTATTTTTAGCCTTATATGATTCAATGAGGTATGCACCTCCTATTTGGCTTGCTAAACATATTTCGTACAATCCAGAATTCTTTCCTGGTATGTGCCTAAGATTAAAAGAATCGCGTGCAGTTATAATTGTCTTCACAACAGGAAAATGTATTATTACTGGAGCAAGATCAGAAGAAGAAATTTATTTAACTCAAGATAAAATATATAATTCAATTTCAGCATTTTTAAAGAAATCAATCAAAAAATGCTTGCATTAATTTCAGTTCTTAACTCCATCAATAGTTCACCAAGTTTGTTCTCTCCCTCCCAAATACTTGGATCATTGAGAATAGGACTTTTTGGACTCAATCCATTACTCCAATATAAATTTGAGTCGGAAGCATGAGTAATCAGGCCATCTCCTGTTGCACGTAATTGGTTTAAAAGCTGAGTATTCTGTGTGAATTTAGCCCATAAACCTGTGTACATAATCTGGAATATTCTTAATTAATTTTACATTGGAAAATAAATCTTGCCTTGCTCTTAACAGAATCCCACTCGAGTTTATTATAATTTCTCACACGCGTTCCAATTCTTCCAATAGCTAACGGATTGTTGAGCATCAAAACCTGTGCAGCAATTTCCAGATCACCGAAATATCGAGCTTTTTGCCAGATAAAATACTGTTCAGTCGAATTGAACGTTCGACCAAGCAACGTGAAGGTTGTTTTAAACCGATTATCGAATCCACATCTGTGCGAACTGAAAATAAATATATTCTGATTCTGAGTCCCAAGAATCTCTTCTGGAGGTAGAGAATTCTGTTGGTGTTTCAATTGGAGACGTTCGAACATGAGTGAAGTAGTTTCTTAGAAAATAAATAATTAATTTTTAGAGTAAATTCTTACCAAGATTGATGTCACTGAACATATGGATTGATATAAAATAAATCTTAATAATATAAAATAAAATACGAAGTTTATATTAAAGATATTTGAATGGCGATACATTTTAACTAAACAAATTATCGATAAATAATTTATTAATAATAAGTTGATATTTTTTTGCAAAAAAAAACACTTTAATCATTTATGAATCACATCTTTTCCTCTATTTCAACATAGTCTAGACATTCTATTGGATAGAAATTCTCATGGCTTCCACCTCCAACAACACAAACAAGAGGAAGATGAGGATAAACAAGATTAAGGTAGTGTCTAATATAGAAGAATTGCCTTAATTTTTATTAATTAAAGATCATGTATTAATAAATTAAACCGAATGGTGATAGATAAATATCCTCTAAGTGCAAAAGTTCTATCAGAACCCATATTAGTAAAATTGCTAGGATAAACTTCAAGATAATGATGTTTTAAATGATTTGTTATAAGACACTTCTTTCCAGGCAAAATATCTTTTTCTGTAAATTCTTGTTGCCCAATTTTTAACTTGGCAACATCCTCTTTAGTCATAGTAGTAAGAGATTGAATAAATTTTAAATTTTCGTTATAGTTTTTGCGAATTTCACAATTAAGTGTTTCAGGCACACATCCTCCATTAAACTGACAAAGTAATTTTATAAGTGGTATAGTTTTCACAGACAAAGTGGACGTTGAACAAATTTTAAATTTTTCCAGCATTCCTGTATTGTAACCTTAAATTTTCATTGAAGAACAAATTTCATTATCAATATTACCAATACTATTATTGCTTATCATTTGGATGATAAAAGTTAAATAGCAAACAAAAACCTGTAAGCTTTTTAAAATTAACAGTTAAATTTATGAAATATTATGTATGAAAACTATGAATATAAAAAAGAATTTTAGCTAAATTTATACATGACAAAAATTATTTAGTCGGATCAATTATTGGATCTCCTCTATATCCGTACGGGTAACAATCAAAATTTGAATCAATTAATCCTTTATCATAGATAGGGGCATATCTCCTAAAATATGATTATAATATTGTAAATTTTTCAAAAATCACCGAGTTTGTGACCGACTCGTAATTTCCCCATGACGCCAACTCGGTTGAAAGTGCGTTCTTTCAAGTAGTACTGGTTCTTGATCCTCGCCATAAGCTTCGACCATTGACTAGAATAATGATTCAAATTCATAATGGTATTTAATATACTTTAAATTTGTTAAAGTCTAGAGGAGAGTCAACTGTATCCCAACACCCTCTGCATTTGACTATGTATTTTATTTCTTTGCTGACCTTGTTCTTCATTTTCATTGCATACTAAAAATTTTTAATTTTATTGGAATAATATTTTATTGACCTGTTTACAGCCTCCTGTGTAAAAAGCAACAATATTCCATTCTCCATATTCTTGGGCCATCATTCCCAACATTTCTCCAACACGAAATGGATGCTTCTGTCCATGTTTATGAACATAGAAACAGCTATCTGTGTCGGTATACAAGAGCTTACAGCCCTTTTCCATTACTATTTTTTCCATATAATCGTAGAGCATTATTCTAGCAGTTGCAGTAGTAATTAGGGCAATTGCAATATTGTATTTATCATGAGGACGCACAAATTCCTTTCGTTGCCGATAAGGAACAGAAAAGAGATCTGTAGCCAACATTTCTACAGCCCCAATCTCAAGTTTCGGGTCATTAAGGACTGTGTGAAGTTTAACTGGTGAACTTGTTATGCAATCCTTAGACTTATTTAAAGTAATATTAGCTTAATGATACCTGCGATAAGTTACATCTTAATGCCCATCTGCCCCACCTAAACAAAAATTTTTAATTTTACTTCAAAAAATATTACATCGAATTGTTACAGGTTTTTGCTAGATATCTCATGCCTTCATTTCTAGAAATTCGGGAAGATTCCAAATTTATTCCATAAACACTTTGGTTTCGATTAATGAATTCTTGTTTTCGTTCTTCTAATTCTGATCCATGGATGTCAGCTAAACTATTTGGCCAACCGCTTGCCTATTTTATTAATTGATTAATATATCAAAGATATTAAACCTCTATTTTTAAACGCATCATATCCTGAACATATGGTCGTAACAATTTATCAGACCATTTTTCCCAATGGTAAATGCTATAGACTTTTGTAACTCGATATCCTTTCTTTAAAGCTAGTTCAAGTTCAACAGAACATGTTGTACTGACAAATCCTCGTTGTTCATCGCTATGTGGGCACAATTCATAGCCTTTTTCTCTAGTGTAACCTTGAATTTGCTTTTTTGCAATTCCCGGCGATATCTCTACAGCACAGCGATGACAAAGATGAAAAATCTTAAATAAACATTTGAAAAAATTTTTCTCGAATATATACCAATTTGCCGTGAATACGTTCTGGAATAACAGGCAAATATAAATTATCAGGAGGAATAATAAAAAGTTTGAACAGCCCTCGGTATGGATATAAATCTTCAGGTTTTGTCCAATTTACGTCCTTGTTCAGTTCCATAACTTTTGGATGCCCTTGTAAAAAAGTTTTATTCTGATTTTTGAAAAATTTTTATCTTACCTATCGGATAAAAGGCATAAAAATTCACGGCAGGATATAAACTAACAACATCAAAACATGATATTTCATATTCATTTTCTGACGATTCTTCTAAGTCACACTTAAGTGCCAAAGGTCCCGTTCTTCCCCCCTTAATTTAAAATACGTATTTATTTCGAATAAATAATACATGAAAAGCATCCCTAGGATACAGCGGGCCAATATCTGGCAAGGTATCAAAAAACAGAGACATTTCTGGATCCTCTTCAAGTTCTTTCATAATTTCACATTCCCAAACGGCAGTAGTCCAAATTCCCTCTTCTTTCAATAAGAGAACACGTTCATGAAGTTTATCCTTGTTATATAGTGCCGTCTTTCCATTTAAACAAACTTCATGTGGGCGATATAAACTAAAAGCAAATAATTTGGAATATAAATCTAATTACCATTCATGTCCGTGCCATGCACATCCCAAAAATTCAATAGCTTGGTCTACACCTCCCAAGTTTTTAATATACCCATCGAGACGCAAAATACTTCCATCAGAAACGCGCACCCTTTTTTCTCCTTCTGGACTTTCTTGATGTTGAACTTGAAGGCCTGTCTTGTGTGAAAGCCAGCGAAGAAATTTTAAAGCGATTGCAGATTGGTTTGAATCCCGGTGATAGCCATTATCGGGAATAATACCCATTTGATTTTCTTTCAAATAGTTTATACCTTAAAGTATAGTAAATTAAAAAATAATTTTTAAAACTTACAGAAATGACGAATACACGCGCTGGCAAGTGTCATAGAGTTAACAAGTACGTCGTCACACTTTGAAGACTCTGTAGCTAATTCAAAAAAAAGACGCTGAAGTTTCACAAGGGCATGCGCCAGTATCCGAACATCTTGCTCACAGTATTCAATAATTTTTTCGCGGAGACAGAATGATTCGTTCTTATTCGCGCAATACCATTCTTCAAATAGTTTCCTTCTTTCCTTTCCCATTGAATCAGGGTAATAATATTGACGTTCAGGCAATCCATCAAGGCAAATATTCATATTTTTATTAAAATTCCATCCATGAGGGAAAAAAGACTTTCCCCCCTCGTCAATTTCGAGAGCAAGCGCTTTTGGTAATTGCTCAAGTTTGAGCATCATCCAATTGAACGAATCGCGAAATGAAATAAATGGGCATCGTCTTCGCTGCTTTTTAATAAGAACTTCGTAAAGTTTATTTCCGGTTCTTGTAATTTTAGGCTCGATGCCAAAGTGTTTGATGAGCTCTCCTAATAGCAGATGCATATCATAGCGACTAAAAAATTTCTAATAAAATAATATAAGCAAGCAAACCCTCCATAGTGTGAGATGGCATAAGTTCTTATCGTTCGATCATACCCTAATCCATTAATTAACCATTCCAGAAATTCACGCAAAGGATTTTTATAAAATGCTGCTGTCCAGCTTTTCATTCGGGTTAGTCCTACACCACATAACTTGCAATCACCCGTTTCATCATTTTTCCAACTATTGTTGCCCATACACTTCGAACACATCAACAAAGCCTAAATTTATAGCTAAATAATAAAAATAATAAGTTTATTACCGATACACAATTTACATGATGAAGTTGATAATTTTCATCATCTGGCAATGCACGTAAAGGAGTCAAGCCATCATTTTCAAGTTGCTTCCACGCTTCTTTATTTTTTGTTGGAGATATGAGCTCACATTCAAAATCGAATACAATCTAAAGATAAAATATTTCATTTTACATTTATAAAATACCAATAGATAGTTCTGTTTATTTTTTGGTACAATTGGTTGAACATAACATTGCTCATCGCGCTTGTGGAATGAGCGACAGAGCGAGCAAAATTGTATGTAACAAACATGACCATTAGTTTTATTTGAATCTTTTTCACTGTTGTCCGTAGATTCGCTGTTTGATTGTTGCGAGTTAACCGAGTCTTTCTTGACACGATAAATATGTCCACATTTCTCGCATCTAAAGAATTTGTAAGAAAATGAAACGCAAAAAATACCTTTTAAAAATTTTGCAAATTCCTTTATCTTTATGTCGTTTGTAACATTCAGGATTTATAAAAATATTTGCACATTCAAAACATTTTTGAGAATATCCCTCAATTTCCTTGCATGGGAAGCCGTATCCCATCCCACAACAACGAGGGCATTTAGCTACACATGACTGTCGATGAGCATTCTTATGTCTATAGGGTGCCTCACAGTCAATACAATAAGGTGTTCCAAAAAGCGCGTTCACACATCTAATTCCATAAAAGTGCCCTTGCTTCAAGTATAATCCGATCTCATGCTCGGCCCTTTCAGGGCCTTTCCATATTGGACGCATATTTCCATGTTCTCCAAACACTGATATTCTATATTTTCCAGGGAAGCGGAGATCTAAAAGTTGTTGAATCAACGGAACATGTTCTTCTACTGTATATTGAGGTGCATAATGAGGGTAGTTAATTTTGTATATCAACATTTGCTGAAGCATTTCATTGATTAATAATGTTCGTCCAATTTTTGCATTTTTACTTTGACTATTTACAAGTCTCTGGAATTTGACATTGGCAACGTTCGACTTTTCCAGGTTAACATGTTTTAGTTTCAATTGAACAGCTAATAATAGACAGTGATTGTTAGCAGGAGGATTAAGTGTTTCATTATGTACCTATAATATTTTGATAAAATGATTAGAAATAAACTTGTTTACTTGTATCAGGTTATTAATGTCAATTCCATGCTCAATTTGACGCGGATTTCTTCCGACGCCTCCCTGACCTTGTCTAATTAATTCTAAAGCCTCATCATGTGAAGGACCCATGACAATCTAAATAAATAATTTTTCAATAAAAAAATAACTTAAACCTCAATATGAATTGGTTGACTGTATAAAGAGGGTCTTCCCATACGTTTCCCACTCTGGTCAACTGCATCAAATTGCTCCATAACTACTTGAGGAGTATTTTGAGCGAGGCCGCGATATGGTATTTGAATTGGTTTTTCAAGAACCGCACTTCTAATAATTATTGAACATTTTTCGGATTTTGCACCCGCTGCCTTATCAGCCTGCGCCAAAAAGTGGTCGATCAGATCTTCTAAAAGTTTGTCGGTACCATCTGGAGCATCATCTACATTACGAACAGTGAAAACAGTTCTAGAATATAAAATTTTTATAGAAATAAATTTTATCTACCTGCAAACACCAATTTTAAATTTTGGGCTTTTAAGATTTTCGGATACGTCTTCTTTATAAAAGTGGTCAATAGAATAATTTCCAAAGTTTTTTCGGTTCATCTAAAATTACAAAAATTTTTATTAGATGATTTTTAGATAATTTTGCGATGTTAACGCAAATAATTATTTGAATAAAATTATTTGGTTAATTTATTCATTTATAAAAAAACAGGCACTTTTGGAAAAATCTATGACTCTCATAATGTCTTTTTTACCATCCTTCTTCTGAATGTATCTCTTCGTTTGTCGACATATAATGACCAGTACCAGGCGCAAATATTGACACATTGTCTTGTGCATTTGTTGTAGTTGTCGAAGTGCCTTCACCTCCATCTGCTAAATCCTGACTCGCATGTGTCTCAATATTAAGTTGCGATTCCAAACGTTTAGTTATGTCGTTCATAATAATGACAGGAGAAATTTCTAAAATATAGGAATATGTTTTTAAAAATCGGTATAGATACCTCTCTTCTTCTTTGATGGTATATAACGTCTGTAGCAGCAAACGTCTATTGCCGACTGCAGGTCAATTTGTTCCCAATATTTGCTATTTGGATGCCCTAGAGCAGAATATAATTCATTTTTGACGACGTCAACAATGGCCTTAATATTTTTATAAATAAGAAAATTTTTTATTAAAAACTTGTCTTCCCAGAGCTTGTCTCTCCTTCAAAAAATGCTCATGGATTTTACTTAATCCAATTTGCGGATATCTATTGCGGTGATGTTGAATAAATGCGTTGTAAAGATCAGACTTAAGTTGCTTTTCATCATATTCTGCACCATGAAGCTGCACAAGCTTTCTCGCCAGACGAGTACGTTTCTCTTTGAGTTCTTCAAGTGCAATATCCGCTACATGTTGATCCATCTGAAAGGTAATGTAAAATTAAAAAGAATAAAACGAAACCTTTTATTGCACAAAACGAGTTGTAATATTTGAGATAAAGATTTGTTGCTATAAAGAATTCCAAAGATGAATTAGTAAATTAAAAGATAAAATTCGATAAAACGAATGAAAAATAAAATTTCCATTAAAAAAAGCCTTTATTCAACAAAAGTTATAGTTATCAATATTCATTTTTTCTTATTAAAATTGCTGAACATATCAAAAGTTTTCTGTTGGTAGTCCTTATTGATGTCCTTACAGGCCTCGCAAACCTACAAAATATAAATTATTTTTAAAATTTTTTTGAAAATCTACCATGAAGCTCAGCTCATATTTTTCCCCACATTTATGCAAGAACATGTCACTGGCCAAGGACCTCTGAAGACTGATACATTTATCGCACTAAAAGTTTAAAATAAATCGTATTTAAAATAAAATTTTTACCTGATGCAAGATCCAACAATATTTCATTAAGCTCAATAGCTTATAATCAGTCCCTGAAGCAATATTTGCGCCGCGTCGAAAGTATAAAACACCGTCAGCTTAAAATTTTTTCAATAATTTCAATTTTTATAATTTTCTTACATTTTGAAAAGCTGGACGCTTGTTCCTCAGGCGTTTCAAACATTTCCTTGAAACCTTTTAAAAATTTTTAGATTATCTAATAATTATGTAATACCCCAAATGGCAGCATAATACGTCCCTAGATTTATATTCTTGTCGAGGTCCTCTGCGCACAATTCGAATGTAAGCATAAAATTTATATCACTTCCTGCCTTGTAAAGAAAATTTTGTCGTTTCTTCTGCGTTTCTCGACAGTCGTTGCATTGGTGAATGAAAATTCCTTGGCGCGGTACTTTAAGCACCTGTGCACGCTTAAGTAATGCCTCGGGAACTAATGTTTCGGCACGTTGTTTACCTAAAAAATATTTAAATAAAAAATATCAAACTTACGTTCGATTCTCTTTTGCTTGTATTCCTCTTCATCCTCGCCCAAAGAAATAACTGCATTTGGATCTGGGTCATCAGACTCGTCCTCTTCCTCTTCATAATCCATCACCGCATCAAGAATAGCTTCATGTTCAGGATCTTGTTCCTTTAAATGTTTAGACTTTTGGCCGTTTGCTCGTTCAATAATTGACTAAAATATTTAATTTAAATTATTGACGAAAATTTTTTCAACCTTAATAACAGCGTCAAAAGTATTTCTTGAAACATTTCCCATTTTTTTATTTGACTTGGTTTGTGATTTCTTTGCGATCGGTGCCTTGATTGAAGAAGAACCCGAACTCAAAGTAGAAGTCGATTTTTCAAGAGAACGTCGACGTCGGGCTTCCGCAGCTTCTTTCTTCTTTTTGTGTTCTAATATAAAAGAGCGTAATTCTTGAATTTCCGATGCCGTCATTGAAGCTTAATTTCTTTTTTTATCAAAAATATTTAATATTTACCTTCTAATGCCGAATCTTCTTGTACAGTTTTTGCCTCACTTTGAATTTCTTCGCAACCCTTATCCACACACATCTCCGTCCCAGCATTCTCATCAATTATAATTGGGGCTTCAGCAGTGCCTGTAAATGATAAGCCATATTATTAAATTAAATAATAATACGTATTATCATTTACCATTTTTGGTTGTCGTATCAACTATTTGTTCCATCAGAATTTCTTTCTAATGAAATAATGTGCGAAACTAAAATTGATTTATGAAAAGTCAAACTATTGAAAGATTATATAAACATGAATTTAAAAAATAAAATCGAAAATTAGGGCAAAATAAATTAAAATTTTATTATTGATATTAAATATTGTAAAGTTAACTCTAAATGTCAAAAGCTTATAAACAAAAATTTTAAGTTTAAAAATTAAAAATTGAAATAAAATAATTTTAAAAATTCAATTATAGGAGAGGGAGAATATATAAGGATATAATTAAATTGAAGAGAGGGATAGGAGAGGGTTAAGGCTATTATTAAATGTTGACTGAGAAAGCAGAATGAACCTTTAGGCTGTTTTGGGCCTGCTTTTATATGGGTCCTGACGGACCAAACTTTGATTAAAATGATTTATTATACCCGTATGTATTACATATTGTTACTAAAACGGGAATAATCTTTGCTACTTTTTGATTAATCACCTTTTTTTCCTGCAGAAATTTTATCTATTTTGAAATACATTAAGATTTTTACATAAATAAACAATCTTTGCTCGAGAAATATCATACAACATTTAAAACACAAAAAATTTCGTATAAATACTCGAATTTTTCCAACCAATATTCATTTTTTATAATTCTATCCTGGACTAAAAAAGGCCATAGACGTCTTTACTTTGGCTAAAGCTGAGTCGAATGACACCAAAACAAAGCTCAACAAATTTATATCTCGAGACCTTTCGAATGATAATATTAAAATTAGTCGAATCGGAAGATAAATAAAAATTACGGTCGTGCACTGAATCGGCCGAACTAAATAGGCAAAACTGAAACATCCTTTACACACAAATTTGTATTTATCTTTTGTTCTATCTTCTAATTCACTTATATTTTGAGTGTAACATTTTTATCTACAATTTTGATGATTCATCATTTATTTTTTAAACATTTTTCTAATGAAATTAACGCGACTCGGTATTTTCCTTTTTTCAGTTTTTTCCATAAATGTATAAAAAAGCACTATATAAATTATATATCATTCGACCATGCTCTTCGAGCTTGGTCGCATGATAACAATTGTTGTTATTCCCGCTTGTCGTTTTTCTAAAATATTTTAGACTTTTTACAAATTTTAATAACTTCTAAAATTTAAGATACAACAATTTTTGGCAGTCTTGATGAAAAAGTATCAGAAGCAATTCTTTGGGAATTATTTGTCAATTCTGAGCCAGTTACAAGCGTAAATATGGCAAATGACAGAATTACTGGAACACATCAAGGATTTGGTTATATTGAATTTATGAGTGAGGAGGATGCTGATTATGCTATTAAAATTATGAATATGATTAAATTGTTTGGGAAGTCAATAAAAGGTTTGAGTTTTTTCATTTAGATTGGGCTGACTAGAGATCGAAAATTTTGAGAAAGTCTGGGCTATTCCTAGGTTTGATTTATTGACCTGGGGCCGAATCCTTGGCCTGTAGTCCAGGAAAAACCAAGGCCTTGGTCAGGGCCCCGCTCGATTTCTAGTGCTGACTAAAATACTTTAACCGACGTCCCCCTGTTGTCGTTATTTTTTCTGGCATTTTTCCTCTTGGTAAAGGTATAGTCCCGAGAAAAAATTAGAAAGAAGGTCAGAAAACAATTGCAAAAAATTGAGAGGAACTGGGGGCCAAATTACTAGGGAGATTGTATTTTTAGAATTATCGTTTGTATCCTCATCTATTATGATACCCCATACAACTTTTAGTTTTTGTAAAAAATCGTCGGAGCAAACGAGATTTAATTCTAAAGCCAAAAAATAGTCATTACCTAAATTTATTGACATTTTAGTGAAATTTTGGATTTTATTAATATTTTCAGAATTTGGATTTATTTCAAAAATTGTTTTTAATTTAAAAAGAAAATTTTCCTTCGATTTCAATCAATAAAGCTTCTGCTAACGAAAAACAAATGGATGTGGTACTTTTAGCGCTTTTGGTGTTATTTTACAGGTTTCTTTAAATTTTAGTTTTTAATATTTAAATTTATTTTTTAGCCGCCCAAAATTATGCGTGATGTAGAATCTGGATCTAGCAAAGGATTTGCTTTTATTAATTTTGCGTCTTTTGAGGCTTCTGATGTTGGTTATTTTATCATTCTTTTTAGTTTTTTATTTTCAAAACCCATTTTAAAAAATATTTTTTCCGAGCGGGTTCGAACCTCCACCTCTTCGCCGATTATTTTTTTATTTTATTTTTTTAATTTTTAACTCACTTTCTTTTTAGAAAAACCTTCAAAAGAATCTCTAAATTCACTTCGTGTCAACATTTATCAATTAGAACGCCTTTGTGATTCCTGGTTAAATACTGGACATTTCTCAAATGTGCCTGATCGTTTGCGTTTTTACTTTCGTCTTTTTTGTGTGCACTTATGGCTAAATTGGATTTTTTATGTGAAGATTATTTGGTATTTTTTATTTTACAATTATTTAAAAATTTTTCTGATTTAATTGGCAATTATTTTTAAATTAAGGGAGGTCGTGGGTTCGAACCCTCTTGGGTGTATTTATTTTTTAGATTTATTTTTATGCCATGATATTTAATTTCTATCCAAAAATTAGACGTTTTTGACTTGATTCATTTTAAAATTCTTTACACAAAATTTTTAACCTTTTTTTACTTTTTTGTTCTTACTCTTTTGAAATTTCAAAAAATTACATATTTTTTCTTAATTAAAAATTTTTTCATTCAAGTCCTCTTTACGTTTCTGTGATGAAGGATTAATTGAGGACCGTAATTTGGAGGATGAAAGCCTTTCAAAATTTGCTTCTCAACTTTGCTGTTATTTTCTACCTCCACCGCCTGAATTATCTACACAAAATAATCAAAGGTTTTTCTTTTATTTCTAATCATTTTTTAAAATATTCTTTACACGGATTTTTTCTGGTTGTCCGCAAAAATTTTTGCCCGCAAATTTTATATTCCTTTGTTGCTTGAATGTGTTTTTTCTGGAGTGATTTGTAATGGGTCTGTCGACCTCAGAATCTAGACCTTTTCGATCCGAAAGGAAATCTGAAGAAACTTAAAAACCCCCCTTCTTGACTATTTCTGGTTCACCCCAGGGTCTAGTAAACTGTTAAAAATCAACGACTCGACTTTGAAGTCAATTGAATTTTTGCGGACAAAATTTGCGGGCTAGTGAAATATACAGTAAAACTAATAAAATTTTCCCTTCTGTTAACAAAACTTTTTTTAAAGCCTTCCCAAGCAAACCTTCACCACCTCTTCCCAATTCTTTACCAATCCATTTTTGGGCAGCTTCACTCGAATTTTTCTTCAAAAATTATTATTTGCCTGGATTACCTTTAATAATTAATGAATGGTAAATGTTTGGCCTGCTTTTGAAAAATGGGGGGTAAAAAAGAATTTTTTGTGTAAAAATTTTTGAAAAAATTTATTTAATTAAGGAAAATTTTCAAATTACAAAACTTCCAAAAATTTTTTTAAAAACCAACACAAACATTAACTAAAATATATTCTCTTTTTATTTTTTATTTTTAATCATATTTTTTTAGAAATTTAAATAGATAAAAAATAATAAAATAATTTTTTCAAAGTTAGTTTTTTCCAAATCCGTTTTTTCCAAATCAATTTTTTCCAGATCATTATTTTTGAAAACATTTCTTCTCCACTAGAAAAATGGTAAGTAATTTATTTTATTTTCCCTAAAATTTACCATTAATATATTTACTCAAATAATTATCGTAGTATTGCTTTATCTCTAGATGGAAAGCTAATTAGTAGGATGTGGTAATCTTAGGAGGCGCTTTAAGAAATTTTTTATTTTTAGAGAGTATTTATTTTTTCGGATCCTGACTGAAGTTTACTTAATGAAAGAGATTTAACAAAGTCAGGGTAATTATTTGAGTAAATACAATTTATTTGTATTTAAAATTCATCTTTTTTTCATGACTTACTTTTCAATGAGCGTGCTATTCTTTTTTGTTTTTCTTTCTCTAAAAGATCACTCATTTTATCAAAATGCTCTCTCTTGAGAGCAAACACGTCCTTAATTTTATATTATTGAATTTTATTTTCTAAATAATTTTATTCTTTTAATTATCGTATTTATTCGATTAATTCCCCATTCATGAATTTTGCTTTTTATTGGGAACCCAGAAATAGAAATCACATATAAAACCACTTACACCGATGGTGGGCATTTTTGCCGGATCGCGATACAAGTTGGGAAAACATACGCGAATGGCTGTCTAAAATATTTTTTATAGAAAATTATTTTAGCATACTCTTATATGATTAAGAAAACGCCACCGGTTGTCATACAATGAAACGTCTTCCCCTTTATGCATATGTTTCATATGCAAGATTACAATTCCTTTGTTATTGCAACCCTGTGTGAAAATCAACAGAAAATTAAAAATTTTATGTTTAATTATTAGGAACCAGTTTTTTGAAAATTAATCATATATTTAGATTATCTTCGGTTAGTTTACTTTCATACGCTATAGATAAGACATAGAATAATCGGTTAGAATTTAACAAATTTTTTAAATAATTAATCGGAAAATTAAATTATAAAGTAAAATTTTCCAGAAATTTTATCAAATTTTTGGAACTTTTAAGGAAAACTTCGGAAACCGAAATTATGTTATTTTTAATAAAAATATTACAAGCTCGCATCCAGAGCATTTATATAATTCTCGAGCAACATGTCCGTAAACATGGTGAATATGTTGTTTACGGACTTTGGTGTTGCAATATTGGCATCTTTGCTTTCGCCTTCCGCCTCTCTTCAAATACGCACTTCCGCTGCAATATTCTTCCATTTTTCGTTTAAAATATAATTTTGCTTGTTGGATTTTAGATGGTCTTTTTCTTAATAATCATTTTAAACAAAAATTTAATTTTTAATTTTCTGTTGATAGATCATCTTCGGTTAGTTTACTTTCATACGCTAGAGATAAGACATAGAATAATCGGTTAGAATTCGAAAAATTTTGAAATACTTAATTGAAAAATTAAATCATAAAATAGTTTTGCAATTTTTTGCCAGAAATAGATTTGAACTAGATATTACAAAAATTTTAAAAGAATAGATTTACATTAATACCTTTTTCCAAATTCTCTAACCATTTTTAATTTAATAAATAAATAATACAATAATAGGTATATTAATATATATAAAATAATTTTAAAATATTAAATCTGATGGATATTGGAATGTTTCCATTGTTTAAATACTGGTCCTATTTTGATCTTTAATATCTGTTTTTTACAATTATTTTTTTTGAAAAATTTTTCAATTTATCTTTTATCCATATTGCAGATATTTTTGTCCCATATTGTTTTATTAGTTTGCTTTTCATTGTTTTATTTTTTTATTTTATTTCTGTTTCTAATCTATGCCCTCTATTTTTACTCATCAGATATTTTTTCTATTCCCTCTATTTTTAAACTAATTTTACTTGTCAAATATTTTTTCTATTCTTTTTATTTTTAAACAATCTCACTCGTCAAATACTTTTCTTATGCCCCCCCCCCCTCTCTATTTTTTGCTCGACAGCTATTTTTTACGTTAAATTTATATATTACATTTATTTTTATATTTTAGCCATCGAGAACGTTTTGGTCACAACTGTTTGTCATTTTGTTTGGATTTTTACTGGCAATTTTTACTTTTTTCTGGCAATCTTCACTTAATCAACGTAAACATTTTTATTTTGGTGAAATACATCAATTGGACCATTTATTATTAATTATGTTATTACAATAAATTAACTTAAGGAAATTTAGGAACTAGATTTTTTAAATCTAATTTTAGGTACCAAGGATATACAATATTTTTTTCGTTATTTTAAATTTCAATTTTTTCGGAAATTTGGAGGAAATGAAAATTGCTCGTTATTTTTGGAACAAGTTTTTCGTTGTTTATTTTCATGTTATTAACTTTGCGTTCTATATATACCTATATTTTTTCCGGAATTTTTTAAAATATTATTTTAAAGTTAATTGGTGGTAATCCTCTCCAAGCAAAAGCTTATGACAGTGTAATAATTTATTTTTCTGATATTGTTGTTTTACTGCACTTTCTGCTTTATCTACCCCTATGCAAGTAAAAACAAACAAAAATTTATTTTTAACAACTAATCTTTTTAATTTACACAGGTTGTTGCCCTTCGAAATGATCTCTACTTAGCTTTTGATAGCGTTGTTGATAACTTTAAAGTTTATAAAGTTGAAACTATTGGGGATGCTTATTGGTTTGGAGAGATGATCATGCTTCTCAAATTGCACAAGGAGATAGATAATTTTTGCAAATAAAAATTAAAATATTTTTAGATGTTTCTTGCTTTATTACATAAAGTCAAAAATTTTACAATAAGACATAGACCCAATGCACAATTAAAATTAAGACTTGGAATTCATTCAGGCAAAAAATAATTAATTTACAAATTAATTTTCCCCTCTTTTTAGGTTTTGTTGTAGCCGAACTTGTTGGATCTAAAATGCCTAGGTATTGTCTGTTTGGGGATACAGTAAATACTTCAAGCAGAATGGAAAGCAATGGATTACGTAAATAAAGATTTTTTATAACCAGTTCTTTTTTAACGCTCTTCGTATCCACGTGTTGTATCCACGTTTCTTCTGATACAAGAGAAATTCTTGATAAAGATTCAGATTTTCAATTAGAATTACGTGGTGAAGTAGAAATGCAAGGAAAGGCAAACAAACCACTCATTGGCTAAAGGTTATTTAAAAATAAATGAAAATTACATAATTCTTTTTTTAAGGGCTACAAAGACACTCATGTTCCTTACTTTGGGCCAGGATATTTACAAAAATTTTATTTTCTCTCCATATTACTTTATTTTCGCCTTCTCCAAAAAGCATGGAAACGGGTATTAAAACAACTGGAAACTAAATTTTTCTTCTGATTAAAATGAAATAAAGGATTAGTCACTCCTTCAATAAATAAAAGAAATATCAAGTTATTGGAATTTAATAGAAATTATTAAAATTAATAATTTAAATCTTCTCTCGCTACACTTAAATATTTTTTGCTAATTAAAAATTTACTTTTTAGTTACATTTGTTAACAAAAATCTTTAAAATTAATTTGCTTTTTATCTTCCTAATAATAATTACCCCGCTGCTTATTTTTAAATGTATGGATAGTCATCGCAATCACTACGATTTTTATTTTTGCTCTTTTTTATTTAAACCTAATAAAAATAGGAAATATTCAGAATTTAATTTTTTAATTATTTTTTTTAAATAATTTGTTAATAAACATTTAATTCTTCAAAAGACTGCCTCTATTACAGATAAATACTTTATTGTTTTTTGAACTTTTTTAGTAGCTAGTTAAAACAATTTTGTTTTTAGAAATTGTTTTAACTGGCTACTATATACTACTTTCGTCTAGCTTTTAATTTTTTTTCTTTACTCTATTATGCACTTTACATTCAAAGAAATTTATTTTATTTTCATCATATCTATAAAATAACAATTGCATTTCCGTTGAGATATTTATTATGAGATTATTTGGTCTGAGATTGCCCTTTGAGATTTCATAAATTGTCCTACATTATGTAACATTTGGCTCAGGATAATTAACATTTAAAATATAAGTTCCGTTTAAAAGTCTTCTTAGATTATTTCTTGTTCTAATAAAATTACTATATTTCTAATTATTTTTTAAAATCAAATTAAGATTAATCTTTTTAGCCGTGTTTGAAAAGTAGGATAGCTCCCCGAGCCTTTGGGTCAGAAGTGTGGGGATCGGAGTTTTGCCGGGAAGGGCATGTCGGGGTTCGCTGGCAGGGTAAATTTTTGAGTTGGTGTTTCTTAAGCTTAATTTCAGCGCCGTAAGCATAAATTCTTTTTAATTTACAGGTGCAGTGAGCACTAAAATTTTAGCGTTCCAGGTAGAAAACTACGCATTTATGTATAACCGAATAAATTTGTTGATGTTCTGTTTCTTTTAGTGACGAACTCCTTTATTTGGCCGGTTTATTTTGGCTTCTGTCTGGCCAAAGAACATTTGAAGACAGAGCGACCGAATTAAAAATGCGTGGGATCTGTCTTCATAACCTTTCGAGTATTTTAAAATTTTCACTTGCGATATGAAATACTACTTATTTTAAAAGAAACCAATAAAAAATTTTCCCACTTTCTATAATTTTTGAAATGAAATAACAAACAATATTTCGTTATTTTGTACTTTCATTTCAAAGAATACCTATATATTTTTTCCCATATTTTTAAAAATTTAAAGGGAATTATTTAAAAGTTGTCCTATGAGATATCATAATTGTCTGGTATTAAGTAATTTGGCTTAGTTAATGAAACTTTAAGCTAAATAAAATAATATTAATAGTTCAAGAAAAAAAGAATTTACTTAATCATTTTACTTAATATTAAAATTATTTTTTTAAAAATTTTAAGAATTAATTTAGAATGAAATCTGTTAATATTTTATTCTTTTTAATTTTCAATTCGATATTATGGAGTTTAATTAATTCTGTTAAAAATAATAAAAATCAAAACGAATTGAATAGAGTTGAGGAAGCTTCAAAGGATTTAACTGAAATATTAAATGATGGGGCTGAATCATCGGCTGTTTCTCAAATTCAAAAATACAAAGAAACGATAAAACCGAGACATAATATTCCAAAAAAGGAAAAAACAGGAAATGATGAAGGAGAAAAGAGGTTAAAAAGAAAAAAATATGATAACGATTATTATCAGAAAAATAAGGAAAAAATTTGTCGAAGACAGCGAAATTATAATATTAAGAATAAAGAAAAAAGACATCAAATATCAAAAAAATATTATCAAGAAAATAAAAAAAGGTTAAACGAAAGGAGTAGAGAATATAAAAGAAAATACCGATTGAGAAAGAAAATTGAAAAAGAATCTCTACAAAATGATATTGGGGTATCCTATCTACAAAAGGATACCCCAATTCAATCTTCTCATAAAGAGGAAGGACCATCATCCGTTAATCCTCAGAATAATTGTTGCGAAAATGAACAAGAAAATATTCAAGAAGGGCATTCTAACCAACAATTAAATGATTGGAACGATTTAGTTGATCTGAATCTTTTGGAAGATGAGAAATTTCTGGATTATTTGAATGAAGTTCTCGAATCATAAAATGGATAATTTTTCTACTCGTCAAATGAAAAATATCTTTCCAATAGAGATCGGGCTAGACGGTCTCGAAAAAAATATATCGATCACGATAACCTAGATTTTTGATCAAGAGCTCGTCTCGGTCCTATCTCTACTTTCTATACTACCTTTCCTTTTTTAAATTTTCCTTATTTAATTTTTAGATAAAATATTTAAAAAATATTTATCGAAATACGCAACGAATAAGATATCATTTGTTTATCTTGACACACTGTAGAAATTTTTTGGACATCGAGAGATGAAACCAAAATTAAGCCACTAAATACTTATCATAATTTAGCCCCCCCCCCATTTTAGGCAAATAAGCTAACTAATTGTTAATAAATAGATTAAGCAACCTCCTAACAATGTTATGAAATGTTTAAGAGCACTCCTAAAAGATTTTTCTAAAACATACAAAAATCGAAAGACGAGCTGTTTCAAACAATACTGATCCCCGGATTCGACTATTTTGAACAAAGTACTACTGTTAACTACTGTTAACACTTTACTTTAACACACTTACTCTCAGCTTCTTTAGCTTCATTAATCGTTATAATGGGTTGACCCAAAAAGAATGAGCCCTTTGAATTAGCTAGATTTGGAATTGTACACTGGGAATTAATTTCTAGGGGCACTGAACTTAATGGATATCTCTATCGTACAATCTTGGACCGCGTTCAAGTTGCCATTGATGGTTTCACAGTTCAGGGACGACGTCAAGGCCAGGTTGTTTTTCATCAGGACAACTCGCCTCCACGTTTTTCTGATGGAAACTCGTGCCCACATTACTGAAACACTCGGATGGGAAATTCTACCGAATCCGCCTTACTCACCGGACATTGCGCCATCTGATTATCACTTATTCCGGTCTATGAAAAATCATTTACGTGAAGTTCGGTTCTAGAAAGATACGCGAATCAAAAATCGGGTAACTGATTTTCTCTTAATTCTTCGTTTCTTCATGCATCCTAATTTGTATCCGTAATTTTTAATAAATAATGTATAGAGTTACTATAATTTTACCAAAAAATTTATATGATAAATAAAAGCATTTATAATAAATCTCGTAAAACCGGAATAAATTTAAAAAATAATGAGGTATATTTAGATGAAAATAATGTTTAAAAAATAATACATAAAAATAAATCTTATTGTACACCTTGCAAGCTACCATAATGACAATTTTCTTAATACAGCTTAATTAAATATGGTAGTTTGTAAAGTGAACACAGCTTGAATATCAAACAATTTTTAACATTTTAAAAAATTTAAAAAATATATAAATTTAAATAAAAATAGAAATTCTGATTTCTCTTAATTCAATAAGATGTGGTGTCTAGAGATGTCGCAGACTCTTGGTCTCGAATCTTGGAAAATTTTCGGTCTTAGACATCTCTGATGGTGTGGTGTTTTTTGTGGTGAATTTAGGCCTATTCACTAACGACTTAACTGTCACTGTCGACTGAGAATTGTCATCGAAGGTTAGATTTTAAGGAAGACAAAGAAAACTTAATCTCAGGCAAAGTGGGTAAAAATGGGAAAAAATTTGACAGCGGGGAACTGTGCGACACAACCGAACCTTCGCTGTCACATTTTCCCTACTTTCACTCACTTTTCCCGAAATTAAGTTTTTTTGACTTTTTTTTACGTATAATCTAACTATCATTGACGCTAATTTGTTTTGACATTTCTATTTCGACAGTGAAAGTAAAAGTCGTTTGGTGGAATAGGCCCCTGGTTTGGTAATTTATATACAATTCCAGAAATGTTTCTGGTAAATGTGGTAGTAAATTTAGAGACCAATGTTTTTTGTTTTGTAAATTTTGGAGCCAGAATTATAGATCTAATACAACAATCTAAAAACTGATCGTTTCTAAAATTAAAAACATTGGGCTCTGTGTTTAAATGATATATTGACAGTTCAATTTAGATGTCCATACAGACAGAACATTTCCGATAGCTCAACTTTGTGACCTTTAATAAGGATGGCTTTAAGGATCAAATTACATGAACTGTCATAACAATATTTTTGTATACCGTATTTTCTCGAATAATTCCCCTCCCTTGAATAATCCTCCCTCTCGATTGATTCCCCATGCCACGGATGGGTTGAAACAATAATCCCCACCCCCAAATACCCT